AATAAATTACTAAAGGTTAGAAATGCGTTCAATAATTGATAAAGGCAGCTGTCATTTGACTAGGCCCAATAGGCCGTAAGATTTTGGAATGAGCAGCTGCTTTCGCTAGCACAATCGGTAGCTCTCAACATTCTGCTGTATTAGGCCTGTCACAGCTGCGTCATTTTCAGGAAAAAGTGTGATAGATGGCGCTTTTATAGGTGGCGCCCGAGGCGCCGTTTGAGACCTTTTTGTGATAACTCTAGTAAGCCAGGTAGCTAAATGGCAAGATTACTTTACTAATAGCTAAATGTAGTGTTTTTATTTACTTAACTTGGGTTTTGTTTGATAACATCTGAATGATTGCGCTCCAGCCTCAGGTGCTGACCCTGACGACCAACAAAGATTTCCCAAATTTCCTAGTCCGTAATGCGTTCCGTTTTTCACTCTGAGCTCTCGCATTCTCCACAGCGGTCTCATAAGCATACACCGTCATCTGACCGTGCCCGCCGCTGCCGGTGAAAGCGTCCCGGCTCGCCACCGTTCCGCCCCGCCTCGACCACCGATGTCCAGCTGACCGTCATGCTAACCGGTGAGAGCGTCCCACTGCCGACCGCTGCGGCTGCACTCACGGTACGTCAGTGCATCCGGCGCGTGCAACGAAACAGGACGGTGAGCCGTCCGCCAGACTGGAAGGTACAGCCGTGAGCCGATCGACACCTGACGGGAACGACTAACGGCGGGCTGGCTCGTCGTGACCCGGGGCGTACCGGTCGCCGGACTCGGGTAAACTGCGGGGTTCTGCCGCCGTGAGGACCGAGGGGCGATGAGCCGGCGGTGGACGGCAGCACTGGCCGGGTGGCCGACCCTGGCCCTGACTTTGTGGGTGACGGTGGTCAGCGGTCAGGTCAAACTGTCGGGAAGGTGTCCCTACATCCCGGCACTACGACCGTTCGACACATACCGGGTAAGAGACGATCCGCCGCCAGCCACTGAGGCAGCGTAGCGTGAGTTTCCATCGTTATTAGGGACCTGTAATTGTAAATGACTTGTCAGACATACCTACTCACTAAACTATTGACTTGCACTAGTTAAGCCTATGCCTTCAGTAGCACCTCGTCACGATAAACACACTGTCAATGGTGTATTAAGCGATATACGAGTAAAGTGGGTGCGTCTCGTGACGTTATAGTGGGACTGTGGGCAAACGGTAAACGTTCAGCTACCACAGCTGATATCGTCACCTGTAAGACGAAATACATATATGCACACACAAAGGCCAAACATGCCCTGAGACTTGCGATTTCAGCAGTCGTTAGGCCGCTCAAGTTGGACCGCTCGCTCGCATGTATGTTACCTCCCCTCAGGAATAATTTCCCGTTCACCCCACAGTTTCTGGGCAAGTGGTTCGAGGCGGAGCGGTTTTTCGTCAGCTACGAGTCGCTGGCGGGTCGGTGCTGGGGGGAGCGATACGTCCTTTTGGGTGGCCGAGTCAGCACCCTACTGGAGTGGCGACTGGCGCTGTGAGTACAGTCAATGCGTGACTCTATAGTCTGTTCCATATCAAGCTTGCGGTCGGAGTTTCTTCGGCAGATCGCTCCTCCGCTCAAGACTTTGCGTCTTAAAATGTAAGAACTGTATATACAGAAATAACGCATTGCTTTCAGCAGGGCACTTCGGCTGCAAGCTTGAAACGGAACAGAGTATAGTTACTATACTAGTTAGTTGGGTAGGCGATAGACATTTTCATTTATTCGCTTGTCCGTGTCGTAACTTGTAACTCGTAGCCGTACTTGCATGTGGTGATGGTATTCAGAACATAGGCATATTAACTGTTTCACAATACATCGCTTCCGCTTGCATCGGAACCCGAAGTGCGCACACCAATGCTCGTACATTGCTCAGAACTGAGGTGGTTGATTTTATCCGTCAGGCTGGGCACCCCTGTGTCGATTCGACAGCTGCTGGGTAACCCGGATCCCCGCGATAAGGCGCGGTTCTCCTACGTCGTCGCACGGCCAAACGTGCCCTGTGAGTAGACGGCGCCGGTATCAGCACAATCATTTTCCATTTATTCATTTATCCATTCATTCATTTATTCATTCATTCATTCGTTCATTTATTCTAATTCATTCGGTAGCGTCATCACTCTGTCGAGCTCGTTGTCCGAGCTAATGCTTTTAACGACTACGAGTCATCGGGCAATTAATTGACCGTCTTATTTTACCTCGTCTGCTGGTTATTTTAGGGATGCGTTTTTTGACGAACTGTTACGTCTGTTTCAGTTCTGCGAGGCGAGTACAAAATATTAGCCACTGATTACAAGAATTATGCGATCGCCTGGCAATGCGAGAATAAAAAACTCAGCAACAGCCACACAGGTGAGCCAGCCGCCTCCCCTCAATGTGATATAAACACTCTGAAAAACTTTTCATCACCGCCTTGCGCTACCGTAACTCTCCTTCTCTCAATCTCTGACACCGGATGGAGAGGTGACGTTGACCCTATATGTCCCAACACTCGACAGTAACCGGAGCGGAGTCGGCCGGACAGCCGCCGGAGGCCCCGTTCGTGACAAACCGCTGAGGGCACTCGCTGAGGGTCCGTTCGGCACCGCTGCACCTGATGCTGAGTACCCGCGCCGGGCCCGTGCGCCCGTCCCCGTACCGGCCGTCAGTGACGGCTGAGCCGATCGGAAAGCCCAGCTCCCGGCAGGCGACGGCGGCGTCCGCGTCTGTCCACGGAGAGGCGTCACAGAGCTGCCACCAGCGACCGGCGTCCGTCACGACGAGCCGGCCGGCGCGGCAGTCGGCGGGGCTGGCCGAGTGGCCGGCCAGCCGCACCCGGCGCCCACCGGCCGCCGTCAGCTCACAGAAGGGCTCAGCGCAGCGACCCAACAGACAGGAGAGCACCGGCCGGCTGGGGTGGCACTCCGAGTCCGCGGAGCAGGAGGTGCCAGCAGCCACCAACGGGCGGCAGTCGTCGCCGCCGAACCCGGCGCCGCACGCGCACACACCCCCGGCACACAGCGCGTGGTGGTGCGCGCAGTCGGCGTCCCGCTCACACGGCTCAGAGATCTGCGACTGGCGGCGGCACTGTCCGGCGTCCTCCGAGGTCCCCTCACTGCAGACGCACACGCCCTCACTGCAGAACGAGAGAGCCACATCAATGGCGCAGTCGGCGTCTTGTCGACACGGACTGCCGAGCTGACGGGGCTCCGCACGCTCTGCCGAGCAGGAGGCGGAGAGGTTCCTCACCTGTTCAGCCACCCCGTCCAGCCTCTCCACCAGGTCTCGGTGCTGCTCCGTCAGACGCTCCAGCAGGCCGTCCTGGCGCGGCGGTCCGACGGCAGAGTCCGAGTCGGAGTCCGGTGAGGGTACCGCAGAGTCCAGGCGAGCCGCGATTGAGTCCAGCTGGACGGAGAGCTCCTGCTGCCGGTTGGAGACCCTCGTCACGCTGCTGGAGAGCTGCGCCAGGACGCGTAACACGTCGTCCAACCGAGAGTCCACGGTGACGAACGATTCGTTTTGACAGGTGCAGCAGGCTTCGTATATCATCGTGTCGATGTACTTGGAGCCGGAGGATGTGTTCAGGAAGGCGAATATGATGACCACAGTCGCCAGCATGGCGCAGGCAATAGGTCAGCCGTTGCTGCAGCAAGATGCTCTATGCTCTATGCAGTGTCCAGCTAGTTGGGTTGAATGGCTGATCACCAATGGGCGACCCACTGCACCGGTCTGGTCGATGATATTCTTCGAATCGCCGAGGAAGTTCCAATAACACTTGTGACGAGGCGAGGCGAACACACTATCTAACTCGCGACTCTGACCGAACTCCGGTCAGAGGCGACACGGGGCCGAGGGAGATGACACCGAGCCCGTCTATGATGCGAGCCGGAGCTGATCTGCTGGCCGGAACTGGTGGCCCGGCGCTCACCAATCGCAGGGTCACAGCCGACCGCACTTCCTGTCTGAGAGCATTAGACACGTGCCAGCTGCGGCTGATACGGACCACGGTGCGTGCGTAGGCCCGGGGCCGCTAAAAAACACACGCGGTCAGCAGTCCTAAAACCAATCAAGATAGCTCGGATGCTGCCGAATGCAGAGTGCTGAACCCTATTACATGCTTTAGCTACTGCAAAGTTATCAGATATTTTGCGAAGCAGCTTCTTGAAAGCTCAACATGTTTTCCGTACTGAGCTTCCACTTTCAGCTTTTCTCTGTTACACATAAAACGTAGTCAACATCAGCGTATCATCGACATCGACAAGACGTACATCGACGCCGTTTTGAATGATGAAATAATATGTATAAATTAGTCTATGCCTACTGAGTCCAAAGTCAGATGTTCACACACCTCCCCTACGCTGTGTAACGCTCGCTACATCTCCCCTCCACAGAGATCGGGTGGCTGCTGACCCGCTCCCGCCACCCGAGCTACGAGGTGATCCACGCGGCCAAAGCGGCGGCGCTGGCGGCGGGGCTGGACGTGAGGCACTTCCAGAAGCAAGATCGGCGAGGGTGTCATCCGCTGTGACCTCACGCTCATCAACATGCCATCGGGACCAGCTAACGATACTCACTCACGAATGAATAATAATAATAATGATAATGCATGTTTAAACACTTTTTGGCCGTTCGCTCGTGTGCGATGGTATGTGGTGACAAAGCAGGGTGAAGCGAGAGATATGGGTTGCGATCGGGAAAATGTAATTTAACGGAAAATCATTGCGCTTCGTTCCATAGTCTCGGTCTTCGAGTTCCCCAACAAACGGCACGCTTCAGAACCGGTTACTTGAGACACTGAGAAACCAATGAGCCGAGTAATTATCCCAGTCAGTCCCTACGTCATAAACTGAGTCAATTACGGCACTTCCCAATTTACCCAAACAGCTGTATCGGGACTGCCAGCTTTATGGAGATGGTAGCCAGAAGGCGTCCCCCTCCCCTTCCAAACGGCTGTGTCCACTGCCAGCTTTATGGAGATGGTCGCGGCGTACCCTCCCCTCCAAAACAGCCGTGTCCACTGCCAGCTGTATTGAGATGGTAGCCAGAAGGTGTAGTGATGGGCGCGATGATGGCGATGAATGACACCTGGAGCCCGCACGGGCCACGGACGCCTAGCGGCGCACAGCGGATCTGTCGGTCCTCCCGCGCAGGGAGCTTGTACTGAGATCCGGTCACACGCCCACAGGCACCCTCCGGCGGCGGCCGACCGCGGGCACGACACAAACACCGAACCAAACACACGCACAAACACCCCGCAGCCGCGCAATCAGAACCCTACAAACACGGACAAAACACGCCGCCGACACGGAATCAGGGAGCAACTAAACGTCGCTTTCCCGCAAAACAAGTTAATTCAGCTGGTCAGACTACATATAAAAGCGTGAGCGGGTTAATTAGCGAGCGCTGGACAGGCGGCATATTCACAGAGCAGCCGCGGTCGGCGGCGCGGCGCACTACGCTGCCCGGGTGCGGTCGCGCCCCGACCGGAGGGGCCACTGGGTGACCCGGGTCACAGTTCGACGCGACCGAGGGCGGTGACGATGGGGAGGGCACGGCGCCTCCCACCGGAATCGGGTGCTGATCACGATATCAACTGCGCGGGGGAGGGGGAGAAGGGGTCAGTGGATGCCGATTGGCGAACCTAATCGACGACCGATAATACATGTGTTGTAATGCATTGGAGTGCGCGTTTCCGATCGCAGTTTTTGAGTTTGTTAGTCTGGCTGATCAATTTTGCATTATCATCTTAACATAAGGGCACTAATAACCAGCAAAGTCATTGCCATCGTGATTTTAGGAATGCATTTTTTAGATGCAATTCATTTGTCTTGCATAGTCATGATGATGACCAGCAAAAGTAGCTTTTTACGCGAGTAATTACAGTTATATGTGAAGATACCCAACGTTAATAGCCAGGTCAAGGCATTTCCTTGGCACCTTTCAATAAATGCGGTGCCCCTGGCTCCAACTTACAACCCTTGTGACTTGTTGTAGCTACAGTTCGGCGTAATTTATAATTTCATCGTAAGTTAACGGGTAGCATACAAAAATGCTCTATTCATGTCGCATCTCCGACAGATAATCGACTCACCGCTTTGACGGTGGCCTTGATGAAGTCCTTGCGCGCCGTGAGGTCGTGCTCGGGGTACTTGGCGTAGACCTTGGTGAGGATGTTCTTCATGGTGACCTCCTCGAGGTTGGCTCCGTCCAGCAGCTTCCGCACCACCGCCTTGATGTCGTTATCCTGCAGAGGGCATCGGGGTTATGTCAGAACGCATCAGGTTACGTCGAGGGCACCTGAGCATCCCTAATATCTAGTAGAAGTGAGGTGGATAAGAGGGATGAGGCTGTCCTGTAAGTGTTTTGTCCGTGTTTTGACGTGAGTGAATGTGCAAATGTTTCGAATGATTAGATTAGCAACCGAGGATACGGATTCTGAGCAGTAATCGCCACGCATTTTGTATGTGGATCGCTCTTAAATGTTAATACAAATACAATACAAATAGAACTCATGAGACTGAGCTACACGTGCACCAAGCAATTACAATGGGTGAGCATGATGAGTTCAGTGCGAAAAATACGAGTGCACGGAGAAGTATGTATGCCACGTATACAGAAACTATCCTTACATCAATGACAAAGTAGGTATAATAAAACGACCGAAATATCAGTGCTCCAAAAGCCGAAAGTTCAGCTCACCGTGGGAGGCTTGTTAGTCTTGGACTTCTTCACCAGGGGCTCGTCGTCCTCGCTGGACGAGCCTGCGTCGGCGTCGCCCTTCTTACGCTTCTTCGGAGTCTTCTTGGCCGCGGGCTTCTTGGCGGAACCTTTGGCCGGCGTCTTCTTTTCCTTGGGAGTTTTCTTGGCGGGCGTCTTCTTCGGAGTCGCTTTCTTTTTCTTAGGCTGCGATGAAAGAAACGAAAAGAAATGCATTCAATGCAGCTGAGCGGCAGTATTTGAAACGACAGTTATGATCAGGAATCACAAAAGTCAGGGCTTCAATCGAAGGCGAGGTACAGCGGGGTGAACTGAATAACAATGTTCACACGAGTCTCTAGCTAACACTAGAGACCTCTATCGGGCAATTCACGGCTCCGCCTATTATCAATTTCCACATCGACTTACTTACCGCAGCCAGACCCGGCACTCTCCGAAACCAGCCCTTACCGTTTCCTTCTCTGCCTCCGCCTCCTCCTCCCCATCTTCATCGTCATCGTCGTCCTCATCATCATCTTCGCCCTCATCCGAGTCGCTGTCGTCGGCGGCGTCAGCGCTCTTCGGCTTCTTGGGCTTCTTGGCCGAGCCGGCGCCGCCCTTGGACTTCCTCTTCCTTCTCTTCTTCTTCACCTGCGAACAGCAGAATAATTGATAATTACACAAAAATTGGGTGAATTAGAAGCAAAAAGGGTTACCTTAATCCCATGTCAGATGGCAGCCAAAAGGAAACAAGTTTGTTCGACTCGGTGAGCTTCATTCAGGATACAAAATTGGTACTCAACTACTCACCTGAAGTACCAGAAGAAGGTGGCGCCACATGCATCCTTAACATACTTATCGTGTGCTCCAACATCGTTGATCGTCCACTCCAGACACTACACTAGCCCCGCGTTCGGAGTTTCTCCGACGACGAAGATTCTACGTCGTCCGGCCAATCCCGTTCAAGGTCAGCGGGGGCTTGGCTGTGGTTATGGAACGCGATTGGCCGGACGACGTAGAATCTTTGTCGTCGGAGACTCCGAACACGGGGTAGGATAGCACTGAACAAGACGTGTCATACGGAAACCCAATAAGCCGTCAATAAACACAGATTCGCCCCCCCCCCCCTCTCCCGCCGAGGCCCGGTGACCTCACCTCGCGGCCGGACGGTTTGGGGTCGCACAGGAACTGGAGGATGCTCAGCGCCAGCTCCTCGCGCGAGCCGCTCTTCTTGTCCAGATCGAGGATCTTGCTCAGAGAGCGCAGCACATCTAGCCGGTACCTGTAACGCAGTTCGTGAGTATACCTGCCTACGACGCCACAGGTGATAAAGATACGAGATAGAAGACAAATTGAATAGCTACGAATAGTTGAGCGTCTCCTGAGATTACGACACGCAAGTTATGTTTGTTTAAATGTTTACACCTGTCTTCCTTCCGGATGATGAAAATATAGCGCTAATTTCGTTGTCGCTAAGCAAAAATGAGTAAATAATGACTATCAAAGACCTGAAATAGAATAAAGATCGGAAATCAGGATCGGTGGTCGCACTTACTTCTCAAGGTTCTCCTTCTTCTTAGTGAAAGCCGGAGTACCCTCCTTGAAGGCGAAGCCGCGGAAGGCACGCAGGTTGCGTCGGAACTCATACGGCCGGCCGGGACGCGAGAAGATGATTTGATGAAGCGCGCGCACATCGTCCGGGCGGCCCATCTGCCGGTCGGGAGTGCGTTATTGACATTGCCGCCGGATACATTCCAGTTTTACGGCATATTATTGACATCGTCTCTCGACATTTCCGGCCAACTATCAATAACAATTGGCAGCACATGGTGTATTGCCTGCAAACACAGAGATAGAAGTAATTCATCCCATCCCAACTCAAAACACGTTCTTGTTAGCACCAAGGTACGCCACTCGGACTGCTTACCGCGATGTTGTGGGCGATGACGGGACAGTCGCCCAGCTTCTCTCCCGTGCCCTCCTCCAGCACGTGTGCGCCACGCTTGGACTCCTCGCGCGTCTGCTGCACGAACCGCTGCACAGTCTTACGCTCGCGCCGGCCCGTGGTCTCCGGTGAACGCTCCAGAAGCGGCACTGCCAAAGGCACCGCAGGGTCACCAGTGTGAGATAAGCTTATCAGCATGAACATCCATGGTATTCAAGTGCTTTGTCAAGGAATTAGGTTGAGTCATGATCATAGTAGAACGCCAAATATAACACAAGGAGATGATACCTGCAAATAGTATCAGGATATGTATCTATTCAGCCTGCTCTTTCTAATGTATGGGTTATATGGCAAGGCCAAATGAGCAACTGACCAGGAGGTTCCTTCTCTTCCTCTTCTTCTACCTCCTCCTCTTCCTTTCCAACCTCTTCCTCCTTTACATCAGCCTTCTCTTCATCCTTGTCTTCTTCCTGAACTTCTTCCTTTAGTTCTGCCTTATCCTCTTCCTTCTCTTCCTCCTTTTCTTCCTCTTTCTCTTTGACCTCCTCCCTTACATCTGTAGTGGACTTTGTCTCTGTGTTCTTTAACACAGTGTCAGCATCACCACCGCCACCTCCATCACTGGGCTCAACTTTAGTTTCTGAGACATTGTTCTCTTCCTGAAAGGCAATCCAAACAAACCATGTTAAAGGGACCCTCCCACCTTCAAAAAAGTTAATGAATTGGCATGAAAGTGATGTCCCTTGGTTCAGAAAGAGCGAAAACGAATATCTACCAAATTTCACCGAAAAATATTCACTGGTTTTCAAGACATTAGGCTTTTACTTTTGTTTACTTTTTGGGATCTCCCCTGTTACTAGCGACTTTATTTGGAAGTAATAATTTGGCAGCCTTAAAGTGCGGCAGACGTTGCGCGCAAAGCAGCGTATACCACCACGTGTTAACGATGGTTTTAGTCTTAAGATTTAAAAATCGCTAGATCTCCGCTGACGTCACAAATTCTAAGGGGGCATTCCAATGCATTAGCCCCTTAGAATCCGAAAACTGCAAGTTTGAAATTCCATATCTTCGAATTAAAGCATTTTTCGATGTTGTGAGTGCCCAAACCGGTATTTGCAGGCCATGGCCACCAATTTGGCTATCTCAACTCAAAACTAATGTTAAGGTGGGAGTGTCCCTTTAACTATTGCAAACAGTCTGGAAAGTAGCAATGATTATTAACATAATAGCTGTGAGCACCTTCCATTCAACAGTTCTGTAATTTAGCTGCATGGTAAAATAAATTCCAGTGCATGCATAAATTGAGAAGTGTTTTAGTTACCTAGTGGGTACCCAACATAAAAAATCGGGAGGGCTACATATGTGCTTGTTTGTAAATGAACTCGTTTCACTTGTTCATTAATAAACTTGTGCTTAAACAAGTCGAGCGAGACATAACACAATTTAAACAAGGAGGTCGAGCGAGTCGCGAGACATGCATTTAAACAAGGAGAAGGTTGCATTAAGTACAATTCACATATGAAATGCTCTTAATTCACGACCAAAGCCTAATCTTAAGTAAATATGTGCAATTAAAGCTTCAGCAGTCACAGGCATCTACCATTATTCAAAATATTCACTACGACATTCGCATCAGACCGAGCCATCACAATCACGACTACAATAAAACGCGGTGTACAATCAGTCGTATCTCACCGAAACAGGCTTCACCTCAGAATCCATATTTAATAAAAGCTCGTAACAACTGAATTCTAACAAATTTGATGGTCAAAAAATTTAAAACGGCGATAACGTGCGCCCGACGCCACCACCGTGGGCGCGAAATCGTCAGGACCGGAGTAAAAACGTGACAGCCAAGACGTCTGCTCGGTTAATATCTGTTCGCTACATTAGCGGAAAAGTAACCAATTAACGAGGCTATTGGATGTTCGCGTTGACATAAAAGTGTCTTACACAATTTGATTCGTCCTGTCGCAGGGTCAGCAGGATCTACAGCTTTTTATGAACATTCTGCTGACGGTGATTGTTGTAGTTGTAAACAAATGATTGATTGCGTACGCGAAGGACGTGATTTGCGGCTTTTCACTTTGCTTTTAGCACTGGGCAGGGACTAGATTTCGGAAAAGATTTTTTTTTTAGAAACTATCAAAGTGCGTGGGTAAGAGCCTGACTGCTGCCTGCTAAAGCTGCTAACACCATTGTTTGACGCTATTTTTTTTTGCCTTCACTGCGCCGGATCAGGATATTGGCGACGGAATTTCGCATAAAGGACTTCGGTGAATGCCATAGTCCTAGTTATAAGTTGTGGTATTCGTGGTTCAGTTTTTGAGGTGTTATTTTTCAATGTTTACCCTAAAAATGAGAAAATCAACCTCACTAGGAGCTGATGCCTGACCATTGTTGTAGTTAAGATTTTATGCATCAAGTCCTCGTTAATATTTGTTTATTTTACATGTAACATGTGTTACATTGCTGTTCCCCATATTCAATAGTCTGACATACATCTTACCTCCACCATTAGATACAATGGAGACCTTGGTCGAGGCTGGACAAAATGTTTTGCTTGTATGGAGCGGACAAATTGATGCCGAAGAAATGAAACAGCTTGCAGAAAAACTTCAGCAGAAGGTTGGCTCTGCTGGAAAAGTGGCTGTTGAAAATGCTGAGCGACTGAAGATGGGTATGTATGTACATATGTACTGCTGAACAAAAACAGCCTCCACTCTCCTCTCAAGGATAATAGCATCTCCAACAAAGACTGAGCGAGTTTCAAGACTGAAAAAAGCTCAACATATTTACATTTATCCACCTTGCAAGGCTCATTTGGTTGATTGATGTTATTTTGATTTGGGTCATCTGAATTCCATCAATGTACCTGGTCACCTGCTTTGTCATCTTGTCATGACCTTTACCCCTGCTTCCCATTCTCGTGCCCACAGCGGGTCACGCGGCGTCCAGTTTCGACCGGGCGCTGTCGGGTGTGGTGGGCGCCCCGCCGACCCACGAGGACGCCCTCCTGGCCGAGGTGCTCGGTCTGCTGCGGCCCGGCGGCGAGCTGCTGATGCGCGACGCGCGCGGAGAGGCGGCGGCCCGCCGGCTCACCCTGGCCGGCTACACGGGAGCGGCCGCACGCGCCGAGCTCGGCGGCTACTGCTGCGCCCGCAAACCAGACTTCGAGGTGAGAGACTCCGTTGTTCCGTATATCTCGGACTTTTGATTGAGTGACTGGGTCGCTCTGAGCTGATTTGACCGGGGATTGGAATGGGTAAACTGAGAACTGGGTAAGCGCACTGCGCTGTCTCCTCTCACCCCGACCATTCCCTGCGCCAGGTGGGCTCGTCCGCGCCGCTGAAGCTGAACCTGCCGACCTCGGCTCCGCCGGCGGCGGCCGCTGTGTGGACACTCTCCGGGCAGGACGCGCTCGACGACGACCTCGACCTGGTGGACGAGGACGAGCTTCTGGACGAGGAGGACAAGCTGAAGCCGGACCCGGCCTCGCTGCGCGGTCAGTGGCCGGGCGGGACTTGGGTCCTTCGTTCTAGGTAGTCTAAGTAGGGTAGGCTGGCGGCGAGATCGAGTAGATTGCATTTTGCGTTTTTTCAGCTCGATTTGCCGCTTTATGTGAAATCTTAAGGATGATGTGTTTGAGTGAATTGGTTCCGATCTTGCGTCATGCCCTTGTGAAGTGCGAACTGGCCGTTCTAAGTAGATTGCTGTGTCAGCATTATCGTGGCGAATGAGAGCAGTGTGTGTAATCTGCCAGGTGCGCTTTCTCTTTGATTTCTTGGTGTATTCGGGCGTTGATGTTCGTGAGCATCGGTGGTTCAGTGGTAGAATGCTCGCCTGCCACGCGGGCGGCCCGGGTTCGATTCCCGGCCGATGCATTTTTCTCACACTTCTCACATTCTTACACAGGCTAGCGGCCATGCTCCCTAACATTAGTATTGAAATGATAGGTTTTAAGCACTTCCATCCGTTATACTCGCGTGATGTCATCAGGACTTTAGCCCAAGGAACTCTGTTGTAGCTTAGTGAGCCCTTGTGCCTAGTATTTTCCCGTGTTTTCATACCATTCGTGCCTCTCTTTCCCCCAGTGTGCGGCACCACTGGCAAGAGGAAGGCGTGCAAGGACTGTTCGTGTGGCCTGGCCGAGGAGCTGTCGGCCGGAAAACAGCCGGTCACCAAATCAGTCACATCATCCTGCGGCAGCGTGAGTGACCGCTTCTCTCTCTCTCTCTCTCTCTCTCTCTCTCTCTCTCTCTCTCTCTCTCTCTCTCTCTCTCTCTCTCTCTCTCTCTCTCTCTCTCTCTCTCTCTCTCTCTCTCTCTCGCTCTCGCTCTCGCTCTCGCTCTCGCTCTCGCTCTCTCCCTCCCTCCCTCCCTCCCTATGTCCTGGTCGCCTATCTCCGTGCGGCGTGAGAAGTGAATGAATAGTTTGTCATAGTTCGTGCAGTTGAATTTCTTCTTTGGCTTTGTCGCTTGTCATGATGATGAGTCTTGTTGCGTCATTTTATGACGAGGCTAAGTTAAATCAGCATCAGAATGTGCTGTAGGCGTGACAGCCCACTGGGAAGGTTTCATAATATATACCTACATGATGCATGTCTCACAGCATGATAATAGTGATAGTTATGTCGAAGTTTCCTTTTACCGTGGACCGTTCGCTTTTACGCTAAAGTTTAAGTTTCTGGGGGTGACGTGACTAGCTTTCCTTCGCCACGTCACGTCGCCCTTTGTCACTAATTCGTGATCATCCCACCCCAGCGACGTGCCCTCCTCTAACCCCGCCCCTCCCTCCCCCAGTGTTACCTGGGGGACGCGTTCCGCTGCGCCAGCTGTCCCTACCTGGGCATGCCGGCCTTCAAACCCGGCGAGAAGATCCAGCTGTCTCAGCGACAGCTGAACGCAGACGCCTGAGCGACCACCAGTCGGTGTGTGCTGCTTCCCGACTCCCGAGTCCCGACCCAGGGCTGGGGCGTCAGAAGGTGTGACCGGCTGTGCCGCAGGTCAGTGATTGCACTGGCTGTCGGGGCGCCCCCTGGTGACGCCCTTCGGGTGCCCTGGCGCCCCTTGTGTCGTGGGACGATCTCGGCGCCCTTGGCTCTGAGTCTGGTGACTCCCCTTGATACACTCGGGGGCAGATTGATGTTCCACAACTCTTTATCCACCGGGTTCCTATGGCTCAGCATTGGCAGCAGCCGCCTGGTACCGGTAGACTGTGCCGCTTCACTTACTTGTCAAGCGGCACAGCCTACCCACCTGTATGACACCGGTCTGGGTCGGTGGCTGGAAGGCGATGTGGGCCGCCTGTGACGTCAGCGCAGCGGTGAGGGCCGAGCCCGGAGGCATGGCTCGGGTCGGCGCGGCGCGGCGGCTGGCGAGGACTGGGGAGTGAGGTGGGGTGGGAGCACGGACATCGCGTGGCTGAGCGAGTGTAGTTAACTTTCGCATCTCAAGGCGCCAATTATTCTACCTAACAATTGTGCTAAAGCAGTTGTTAAAATGTCCTATCCCCAAGACAGCGCCTATCATCATACTTGCAATGCACATTATGACACACTTAGGCGTGGCAATGGGACAGCCGATAGAACTTATGTCACTCGTGCATCGAGGTGCGGAGCTATATTTTGTATAACATATTAGTATTAAGGCCTTGATCGAGCAGATTGGTGTCTATTGTTTCGCACGGCAATCGTCCAGAGACGTGGGAACTGGGGGTTATGAGTAGTGCCGCAGCCAACGCTCCAATTTAAAGGTAGTGTGCCAGCTTTCTTGGACCGTATGGAGTTAATGGCCCAGATAAGGAGAACCGGATTTTTAGAACTTATCCATACCTTCAAAACTCATGGAAACGTCTTAAATTCTTCAAATTTTGAGTACCCCAGTGCGAAATTCGCCCCGACGGGTTGTCGGTCGTACCCCAACCACATTTCACACCACTATGAACAATAAATGCACACACTGAAATCGCTATTACCGATATGCTCATCCAATCAAGTTTCGATAAACCCGTTCATCATCATCTCCTGCGGTTTCGAACACGCCTGTTAGGTGGCTTCTGATGCTCGTCGAGGTCGGAATTTCCAAATACGCGTGGTGCGTCGGGCCGCGCGCTCTGACTTCGGCCAAGAAAAATGCGTCAGCTGATCATTGTCATTTCTGCCACTTGCGTGTGGTGAAATGGGGTCATAACTTATAAGACGGCTTTTTCATATCAATTATTTTACATAAAATCATATTTCAAACCATAAATAATGTTCGACAGCCAAATAAAAGAAACAATACCAATACGGGCTTACAGTTTAAGGCTCGACATTGTGTTGTCTACGATTAGACAGCTGATAACTCATTCCCGTACGTCGTATGGTCGTAACACTATAATGACCTTTGCTTATTGTCACAAGTGCGCCGCATTCGCGATTGTTGCCCGACGCCTGTTTGCAGGTGAGCCCACTACAGTTGTTATACATATCTAAAAACCGAAAAACTTTTAGGCGAAAAAGGCACTATTCCAGGCCCATTTTTGATTTTTTGCGATATTAGGTAAAAACAGAAGCTTCTTATCCTAGGAAAAATAAGATGGGAAATCTTTCAAAGGTGGCACACTACCTTTAAAGCGATTATTACTGTTGCTCTAAGATGTGGTCGCAGCCTCCAATAGCAAACCGTTCCAACTAGGAGCCAAAAAGTCGGCCACTCAGGGGGGTTCGAACCGGGCTTCTTCAACCGGCCAATTCACGACACGAGCGTTCATCCACTGAGCTACCGAGAATGGTCCTCGTCCGCACAAAACAAAATGACATCCACCCGCTGACCGCCAATGACAGTATTGTGACATTTGATCGCGTTTGACCGCGGCGGGTGGTCGCTGGTTTCGGCAGCTCAGTGGATACACGCTAGCGTCGTGGGGTGACCGGTTGGGGAAACCCGGTTCGAACCATCCCAGGTGCGAGACTTATTTGTTCCTAGATGGAACGGTTTGCTATTGGTGGCTGCGACCACACATTAGAGGAACACAAGAGTTGCTTTGGGACGCCGCGCTATCCAAAAACCCCAGTTCCCACGTCTCTGGACGATTGTTGTGCGAAATAATAGACACCAATGAGCTCAATCAAGGCCTTAATACATATCTGTTAAAAACAATGTAGCTCCGCAACTCGATGCACGTGTGATATAAATTCTATCGGCTGTCCCATTGCCACGCCTAAGTGTGTCATAATGTGCATTGCAAGTATGATGATAGGCGCTGTCTTGGGGATAGGACATTTTAACAACTGCTTTAGCACAATTGTTAGGTAGAATAATTGGCGCCGTGAGATGCGAAAGTTAACTACACTCGCTCAGCCACGCGATGTCCGTGCTCCCACCCCACCTCACTCCCCAGTCCTCGCCAGCCGCCGCGCCGCGCCGACCCGAGCCATGCCTCCGGGCTCGGCCCTCACCGCTGCGCTGACGTCACAGGCGGCCCACATCGCCTTCCAGCCACCGACCCAGACCGGTGGCATACGGTGTGGGTAGGCTGTGCCGCTTGACAAGTAAGTGAAGCGGCACAGTCTAACGGTACCAGGCGGCTGCTGCCAATGCTGAGCCATAGGAACCCGGTGGATAAGGAGTTGTGGAACATCAATCTGCCCCCGAGTGTACCATTGATAAGGAGATGTTGCGTCCAACAGTGGGGCTAGTTTCGGGCTGTTCTACACAACTGGGTGTGAACGGCAAGATACAGTGAGCGAGTCTGACCGCCTGGTGAGGTCAGGCCGAGGTCCGTGGGGAAGCAGTGAGGTTGAACGGGTTCCTCAGTCAGTGGAGACGCTGTTATGAGAGGGTAACATCCGACACGAACCACGATGCTTCACGGTGATAGTGATGATATTGCTCGGGGCAGTGAGTGGCACACTTCATTAGTCTGCCGGTGGTTAAGGTTGATGCCGGAGAATTAAGTGGTATAATTATTCACGTTCTGTCCAAAGTACACCAATTTGTGCGTATTTTACTGGACATGGTTGATCAATGGACGATTGAGGAGCCACAACGCGTACGCATTTGTATTTGTCATATCCTAGAACAATAATAAATAACGAATGGCATCATATGTGTGAAGCGAGTGCCGCGCCGCGGTCAACCTAGTCTGGACTCGATACATGGCCTCTCTCTGGTCACATCAGGCAAACGACATAACACTCAATGTCGCGTCAGAACACGCGAGAAATCGCACATTTACGCACATTCTCTCTCGAAGGATCACAATTTTCTGACACACACACATTGCCGTATGCCCACAAACCGACGAGCAAAACTGTTGACGAATATTTTGTTTTAACATGCACTCTGGCGGTAGATGGCGCCCCCCAATGCGCAAACGGATACATCGATACGACACCTCCAATACAACAAAGAAGTTCAGACATTGGTATCAATACACATCCACGCCAACTGGCCTTGATCAACAAAGCAGCGTTCGTTTTGATTTCATCGTCGTAGATGTGCTAACATTCGAAAGTAAGGTGAAAGCAAGGTAAGTTTTGCTTTGTACGGTACCTTGAAGTTGTGATACCTAAGCACAGGATTGTGTTACAATCAAGAGCGTTACAGTCAATAGCGTTACATGGAACTGTGGATCCGAATCGCCAGTGAAAGCGTTGGTTGCACGTCTCCAATGCCCACAGCACAGCTGGACAACAGACGGAGAACCTAATGAAAGATGGGCGAAAGTTCCAAGGTCTCCCCGTCTACAGACCACCATTCTATGCGCCGCACAACGACGCCCAACACACGCCGACCCACATGGACATAAACGCCAACCAACTTCCGACATCGTAAGCCGCATACACCGCCAGCTCAATTAATGTCGCTGGCCGGCTCAGTCAGAGGTCTGTTGAATGCGATACATGTGCATACCCCACGGCTCCAAACAGCCTTGTAACGGTGCTATATGCCGCTAGCCACTACACTATTGTCAACTCAAGTGCGATGATCACATTGGTGCCAGCTGATAATGGTAATGTGGGTTCGTCCAAACTCAATCCGGCGAAGCTCGTCTGTCCTTTCAAAATACCGGGCTACCGAACACTGACAGGCACCTCCAGCTGGCTGGCCCTGCGGTGCTTCGAGGGCCGACCGGCGGTCCTCAGTGGGGCGCGGTCGGCCGGTCGGGTCCGCTGGGATCCCTGTCCTCTGTGACCTCTGACCTCTGATCCTGACCTTTGACCTCAGCGCCCATTACGCCCGGTCACATATCAGTCACATCCAACCAACACGGACCAGCGACTTTGCACCGCGCGCGCTCGAATCCCATCGGAGCCATAAGTTTTCATTCTTCCGTCTATCCAGGGCAGCGCGGCGCTGCTCTTCGCTTCCGCCCGTCGCTCTCCATTCCCTTCCCAGTCGTGTGCCGGTGAGTGTCACAGCGCGCTCCGCCCGTTCAGGGCACAGCCTCTGCCAGCAGCACACTGTGCCGCAGCGCAGGCCTCTCTGTGTACGGCGGGGGCTCCTCCGGCGACCCCTCCTCCGGCTCCACGTAAATGTGCGTGACGGCCGCGCCGGCGGCGCCGCGCGCGCTGCCATGCAGCACGTGCCGCTGAGGCGCCGGCGCCGGCTCCCTGCGCGCCGCCGTCGGTCGGAGCGGCGCCGGCGGCGGCGCTGCCGCCTCCTCGGCCCCGGCGCGCTCCCGCTTCTTCTCGAGGAAGCCGCTGGGCGGTCCCTGCGGGTAGAGGGTCTCGTAGGGCGGCGGCTCGGGCACGCCGGGCCGCGGCGGCGGCGGCTGGCGGGCGGCGCGGCCGCGCAGCTCCGCCGGCTCCCTGGCGGCCGTCCAGCGCACCGAGCGGATAAAGTAGCTGACGGCAATCACCAGCAGCAGGACGATCACCGCGAACCCCGCCCACGTGGCGAAAAAGTGGTCCGATTCTGGCGAAAGAGAGGGGAGGACTCTATGGGTTGATAGATTCGACAGTTCGCTTATGATACAGTTGTAACAGCACACGGCAGTCGTGGGCGCCAAATATGTAATAGAGACAGCTGGTTAGGCAACCTAGCTCGTATCGATCGACCGACGAGCATTGGGTCACAAGGCCATTTCTCTCTCCTCCAAGTCTGATACATCCGCTCATCGTATTGCACTTCTAAGCTCATTATCACTATGTCACCGAATCACAACTTTGCGCGCTCACTCCACCACATATATCTTTCCTGCGAGCTCACCACACCACCCATATCTCACCTGTGAGCGTGCCGGTGTGCTGGTTACAGGTGGAACTGTACTCGTCCTGGTTGGCCGTGAAGCCGCAGTTGGGGTAGCCGTCGCAGACCAGTCGCTGGCTGATGCAGCGTTCGGTCTGGTCAGACGAGTCGCGGTTCAGACATAGAAACCGGCCCGCACCGCAGCCCATGAACAGCTCTGTCGGCACAGGAGGGCAGTGAACGTTAGGGGTGATACTCTGAGATTGGGCTGATATTGTTCCCTCCAGTTACAAAACAAACTCCTGAAAACCACAGCCTGCTCTTTTCCATAATGAGGAAGCTGGTCGCACTTCATGGCATCCATATCAAATTCTGTATGATGCATCAATTCGTTTGATGTGTGTAAGTAACAATCGAGATGCTTTGATGGCTATCAAGCAACTGACAGCTCAAAGGGCTGACAGTTTGTGTGCACAGCTGATACATTCATCTGCGTTAAATACTTTGGCCGCGTCTCGTTTTGCTGCTGTGATTTCAGACCAACTCGAGCGCGACGCATAGGCGTGGCCGACTCAAATCGGCAGCCAAACCGCAGCAACTCGGGCGTACGTTCCAAACATCCAGCCTGCTGCTCTTGGCAGCTCGCGGCCGTCGTTCGGAAGCTGTTGCCAACGCGCTGCGGTCCGCCGCTGGCCTTCAATAACACGACTGGGCCACAGAAATGCGTGCTGATGCAGCCACTGGCATTGACACCTCGCTTGCCGGCTAGGCTGTGGCGTTTTCTTTATTTAAAACGGCAAGTGTTGAATTTGTACGCATCGTGCTCAAGTGTCAAGTCTGGATAGCCAGGCGTGCTGCCAAAAGTAACATCATGTTGAGTGGTTTAAATGCTTACCTCGGTTATAATAGGCAGTGACCACCACCTCGAAGGATGGCTGTAGACTGACGGCGTCCCGAGGCACGTGCGCCTGCAGGTTGATCTCTCGCACCGTGCACTCATACCCTGTGGGACGAAGGACAGATCGGGTCAGGCCACAATTAGTTACCATTCCTATTGGCGTCTACATGTATTCATGCCCACCACTGCACTGTGAGTGTGTTCTGTGTGACTGGGTGCTTAAAGTTATGCTGTACCGAAGTTCACGTGTATGAGGTTACATAGCTGCCGCTAGATGTCACTACTGTGTGCGCCTGAAGTTATGCTGTACCGCACATGTCCAAACCTATGTTGTATACCGCTGCCGCAAGATGTCACTACAGTTTGCGCCTGAAGGTATACTGTACCGCATGCCATGGGAACGAATCTACAAAACGCCGCAAATTATGATATCCAAATTTGCGGCGGATAAATGTGCCCTCGTCCGTGGTTCACCGACCCCAGCTCAACACGTCCAGTCGCTTCCCCGTACGACTTATCACCCCAGGCCACCGACAGGCGACGGAAAGCCATTACCTCTGACCACTCTGACACACCAACGGACGACGGCCGACAGCCGCCCCATCTCCCGCTCGTTCCTGACCTCTGACCCTCGCACAGACGCGCTCCGGCCGTCTGCATTGCGCCGTACCGTCGCTAACCGCCGCCGCTCTCCGCCGGCCAGGCCACGCACGGGTCACGTACAGACTGCTAACGCGATTACTCTGCGACGAATGGAGATGGATTCGAGGCGGCGTCGGTGCCTCGGCGAGGTCGCTCGCGCGCGGAGCGGGATTTTCGGATTGGTTTCCATGGTCCGCTAGGGCACTGACCGAAAGGCGGCTTTTGGGGTCACGTGGCTGGTGAAGTAACTAATGGTCGGAGAGCTGATAGCAATTGATGGCAAGGCTTTTACTAAGACCTGTCGACGGTCCGGCACGGTTGTGCTAATTGCCAGAGTTGTAGACGATTGAAGAGAGAGCGAGTAAGGGTAACACAGAAGAGACAGGCTGGCGGCGCCGCCGTCTCTCTCATTCAGAGTGAGTGTTGGCCGCAGCTGCGCTAGTCAGCAGTCAGGGCAGGCTCCTCTTCAGAGTGAAACCCCGGGCACCGCGTGACTTCCAACACCGTCCGACGCCATTAACAGCGATCGGCTTTTAAACTCCGGCGGTGAACAGCTTGGCAAGGAGCCTCCTTTGTCCGGTTCAGCATGGTTTACGGCCAATCAGGCGGGGTCACTCACTGACAGCTTGGCCTGTTCCGTGCGGCGTGCTCCTGGCAACCGGACATACAGAGCACACGGGCGACAGGGACAGGGGGAATAATTCACGCCGCTGAGCTGCACGTTATTAGTGCACACGACTTTCTGGCAACGGACCAGCAGCGATCCAGCGTCGAGCAGGGTCGTGTTTTGTGGATCTGTTTTTGAAGAACGACTAATGAGCAGGAGAGGTCAAATGGCGTTGAGAGGATATGCATGCCGGGGTCATTTTTAGTTTTGATGTTCTTTGATAGGCGTATGCTATACGACTCAACTGGCTGTGTGGCTGCGATGGTGCATTCAAGTTGTGTAAACGCTTTACGTAACCGGATGGTACACAGCAGTAAGTTCTTCAAACATTTTGCATGTCTAACGCCTTTTGTCTGAAACTACTTTACATGATTCACCAAACTTAAAATAACATTCACATGCCAAGCTCGCGAAACACCCATAAACAAATGATTTTCTTGGCTTTCAGGTATGTTTTAACGATCGGTTTTAGAAGTGACGCCCTGCCATTCCTATCTATACGGTACGATTATTTTAATTTCGTTAAAATTTGAAACGGGTCAAATGTGCGCGAGCAAGGTCTTGTGATGGGCTCGTGGAGTGTACCTGATGCCAAGGCCGTATATAGCCATTAGCCATAATGCCATTCGCATCATGCTCATTGGGGATGAATTGCTTTTAAAAAATCCTAATCATCGATGTTTAATAACTATATGAGCCTTACT